TTTAAAAAAATTGCTTCGCTTGACAGCTGCCTCCCCAACACAAAGATCTTCACTGCATTACTGTGTGTGTACGCAAGGAAATATTTTTAAACAATATATTTAAAATGGCATCCTGTTAAACACAACGTATGCTTGAAATGTTGAAGAGTTGCTATTTCTGTTTTATTTTATTTTACTATTTATACCCTGCCCTACCCCGCTGAAGCATAACTTCAATCGCTGATATGTTGTGGCTGGCTCTGCCTCCCATGGCGGCCATTTTGGGGTTGCGCCCACTGCCCTGTATCAGAGTTCCAAAGGGACCCACACAGGCTCAAAAAGACTGGGGACCTCTGCCCCAAGATGAGCAGGGCAGCTGAATGGGCATTTTGCTTGCCAAGAGGAATAGCGAGCATAACCCGTGCAAGCCCCCAAACTGGCACCTGAAAGGTACACAGGCTCTCCGGAGCCACTTGTTCAAAACTGCAATATCCAGGATAATTATGAATTCCACCCCAGGCTCCCTCTAATCCCATTTTCCAGGAAAACTTCAAAATGGAATCCAGCGCCCTAAATCCGAAGAAATAGCAGGCCCAAGAGGCCTTTGGGCTCAAGTTTTGCCAAGAGCTCTCTCTTTCTTCTCCAAGTTTCTCCCTTTGTCAGATGGGCAATCGCTTCTGAAATGGAAGGCACTTTCAAAAGCGGCTGGTGATGTTGCTTGCCTGCTGTTGAACGGAAAATAAACTCTGGGCATGCCTTTCACGTCTGTGCCAATCGTACCTCATCGCACAGCACAGTGAGCCACGAGGATCAGAGACATTTCACTTCTCGGGTCTCACAGATGCACATTGGGCAAATGCAGTACTTTTGTAAACACGGGCAAGCAGGAGGCACTGAAAGAGTTTCTCTCCGTTTCTGCAACAGGGGAAGTTCTGGTATCTGGCCATGCGGCTGTTATTGACACCAGACATGGTACCGCATACAACTGTTGTACAACACAGAACCAAGCAGAGGGCAGGAGCACCCAAAAAGCATTTTAGCCAGAATAGTCAATCATCTCAATGCAACTCAGAAGCACAGTCCTAACTCCATGAACTAAAGCAGTGGTGGGATGGAGATAGCTACTGTTGCCTTTAGTGAGATGTGGGCTGCTCCTTAATTGCCAGCAACAATCTTTTACTATGGGGATACAGTCAGCAGGCAGCACTGATGGGGGTCTTCCTATGGACCAAACAAAGAAGGTCTCTGCAGTGACACCTGTGCCAGCTGCGATGATCAGCCTCCCACACATGCAGGAGGAACAAGCCAAACTAGTTACACCCTGTTTCCCCGAAAATAAGACCTACCCCAAAAATAAGCCCTAGCAGGATTTCTATGCATTTGTGGTATAAGCCCTAGTGTGTCTTCTTCAGAAAAAATAAATATAAGACAGTGTCTTATTTTCGGGAAAACACGGTATTGCCATTCTGGACCTCCTCTCAAGGGAAGCCACACAGAAGCCATTAAGACTATATAACATGACGCTCACAGAAGACGTACCCAAGAGCGCTCGCGTCCAAGCCCAACCCCTGGAAGGATCTTTGATCATCTGAACTTCATCAATCACAGCCACTTCATCTGAAAAACAAAACACACATGGGTAAATTATGCAGGGCAATGCAAAAGGTGAGTGTAGAGAAGGAATCGTCTCCCAAGGTAAATTCTTTGAACAGGTTATTCACTCAGTTTAAAAACTGCTCTTATATCATCTTACGGTCTCTCCTTTCTTAGTAAATTGCCTGTGGCAACTCACAGTATTCATTTATTTATCAAATGTATATCCCGAGCGGGACGTGGGGCAGCTAACAACCTATAAAATACACACAATCAAAACAATTCAAATATACAATAAATAATCTTTAAAATATAAAATGATAATATATAAATAAATTTAAAATATAAATCTTTAACATTTAAGTGATTAAAAATTTATCCCCATTAAAACCATAAGTTTTCATAAATCCTATTAAATACATCACTTTTTATTGTTTGTCTGACCTGTTTATTTCTTGTTAACAGAATAAACTCCAACTTAAAATATACAATATAGTAGAATAAAGGTTCCATACTACAGTATTACATGATTAAATACTCTTAAATGTGTGGGGGTTTTTTTAAACCCAGATATACCTACAGGGTGTATTAACGCTGCACATCTCAATAGTGCAGGCAACGTGGGCAGATGGCCTGCCCTCGCCATCTATGCAGACTCGCTCTTCCCCAGTCACCAAGTCACATGGCACGTTCTACAAGGGCAGAGAAAGGACACACAGATGATTTCCCAAGAAGGAAGAAACAAAAAAGAAAGGAATCTCCCACAAAGGTCCTGCACTGAAATATATCTGGAACCTACAGCTTCACAAAGCACTGAGTGTGCAGCAGGCCTGTGGCCACAATGGGGCATTTAGGGGCGGAGCCCCCTCTCATGGCCCATGCCCCACAACTCCTGCTGCCCCTACCTGCCAGCTGCACTCATTTACTTCTGTTGCTACAGGAGAAGGAGAGCCTGCCAGTGCAATTAATATACGGCGGGTATGCACTCTCTGCTACAGTAGCGTGTGGGCAAGGTCTGCCACTACTGTAGCACAGAGCACATACTTGCCAAGTATTAATCGCACTGGCCAGCCGGCTCCCCTTCTCCAGGAGCGGCCAAGGCAAGCGAGTGTGGCTGACAGCTTCTTCTTTGCCTGCCTGCTGACAGGATACCTCTCTCCCCTCCGCCCGCCCCCCCCCAAATTTTCTGGCTATGCCCCTGGTGTGCAGCCAGCAGCTTTGTATAAACCTGGACATGCTGATTTTCAGTTTTATAGTAGATCTAGAAGCAAAGTAGATGCAATGCAGCAGAAGCTCCAGAAGGTAAATGGGGAAGGAAGAAATGCCCAGGAGCTCTCCACTGCTCCATCAGATAAAACCCATCTGAAGAGAACCAACAGATGCTAAGCCAAGCTAGCCCTTTCTTCTTCTGCTTAATTTAAACAAGCAGCCTCCCTCCGACCTCCGTCACGGGCTTCTTACCAGCCTAGTTTCCACTCCCTCTCCCCAGCTAGCACTTCACCTCTCCTGTCTTTTCCCCATCTTAGACATCCAAAATGATTTCAAAGAAGCAAACTGTCCTGCATAGTTTGGAGAACACCAATTTTTCTTCTTAAAATCTAGGTTCTTAATACACCTTTTCTATTTAACCTTCAGATCCCTAAAACTTAGGGAGGACTACAGCGTGAAAAGGTTCTACCCCTCAGTCACAACAATAAATGTGATGGCAAACAGAATGCACCTGAACAGAAGAGGCTGCATCTACCTTGGATTTCAGAGCAAAGGCAAGCAAAACATTGCTGTGCTGGATCGGTTTTGCTTTGAAACTCGTAGCCATTCCATTTGCAGAACCCTCAGCAAATCTACTGAGCTGCTCTGGATGACAGATTTTAGCAGCTCACAGAGATTTCAGATTTTTTTTAACCGACACTTGAGAAATATATATATATGACAGCACAGAACATATTCAGCAAACAGTTATTACAGAGGTTCACACTCAGCAACTTCAGGGTCTGGAATCTACCCTCACAGATACAGATATTCCAGTCGTAAATTTTATAGTTACAGAACTGACTAGCATCTCCAGCCAAAAAGCCAAATAAACTAAGGACATTGCAAATAGCAGCTTCAAAGAATAGGTTATGTAACCACCATAACTGTATTTCCAGAGGTGCTTTTGCCTCTCCCTTTCCTTCCTGCCTATCCCCTCGACCAACTGTCTCCCCCACTATCAAAATACAGATGATGTGGTCCTTAGAATACAGGGTTTGTTTTGTGCTTCTACAGTTGGGCAGAGTATTGTGCAAGCCAAAGGCAACACATAATAAACAGCCAATACAATATTCAGTATCACAGCAATGACATCCCCCCCCCCCCCCAGTTTCACAGAAGCAGGGAATATCCTAAGATACTGACAGCATCGTTACTCTTTTGGAAGATCTCATGTGCCAGCAGCTTTAAAGGGCCACAGTATATTCCTGATTTTGCTGCTAAGTATCTTTGGATCGCGTGATAGGTTTTCCCACTATTTGTCGGACCTGCATGAAACACAATTTTTCTCTGGATAGCCCTGGCTTCTGGATACCTGGAATGCAAGAAAAGACACACAAACAGAGACACATAGTTAAGTCTTGATCCAAATGTTAATGAAATTTATTTAATTCATCTATATTTCACCATTCTCCTCAATGGGGACCCAGAGTAGCTTACATTGTTCTTTTCTTCTCCATTTTAGCCCTCACAACAAACTGTGAGGTAGGTTAGGCTGAGAGAGTGTGACTGGCCCAAGGTCACCCCGCGAGCTTCTGTAGCACAAGTGGAAATTTGAACCCAGATCTCCCAGATACTAGTCCAACCCTCATAACCCCTACACCACATCGGCTGTCCCTCATTTTGCAGTCTATTCTTCTTAAAATATTCTAAAAAATCATCTGAGAAAGAAAACTAAAAGAAAAGATACAAAACACAACATCTCAGTAGCAAAGATTTCAAATGAAAATCTACAGCAATATTTTTTTTAAAAAAAAAGATAAAAAGAATAAATCCTTAATTCATTCCACACTACAATGCAGCACAGCTAAACACAGGCAGCAACGCTCAATAATGACAGCTGGGAATCATATGAAAGACAGAATACGCTGTTTTGAAGCAACTAACCAGTTGGGTGGCAATCGTAAGTCACTGATTTTGCGCAGATCATCCATACACTCCAGCATAGGAAAGATCTGCTTAGCGTGTCTCATGAAAAAAGGAAACAGATCATCAACATGCCCTGAAAACAAAAGAGAGAGACACACACACATCAAAATGTAACTAACAAACTGCCACCCAACTGCCTAATAACATCTCCGACTGAACACTTGAAATTAAACACAAAACATTCAGCACCATTTCAAGACATAAAAATGGTCTTCTTGCTTCTCAGAGGTTATACATGCGGAGGGGCAAGAGAAGATGCATCAAGAAAGGGGCCAAGGAGAGAAGCACAGGCTTAAGCCGGCCTCCCTCCCACTCCCCCATGCTTGCTGGATGCCAGCTTTCTAGATTCTGCTTAAGAAACAGAAGGCCAGCAGGGTGCTACCCATAAGCAGAACTTCACTCCTCCTGCTGGCACCAGGTCTAAATGGATGCCCCCAGGGCCTCCGAGTTGCTGAACCCTAGCCTGATGCACTGCTGCTTGCCTGTCGTTGCAGGAGCATCCGCACAGAGCATGACCTCACTCTTAGCCAAACAGGGCCCTGATGCTGCCTTATAGATTACATTTAATTCAAAGGAACAGTTCCTGTAGTAGAGATGTTAGACGAAGAGGATGAATACTATCATTTTCATATTCCACTCTCACTACAGTCATCTTCTAGCATTCTTTTTATTAAGTTACTAGGGATGTTTCTATGCATGATCAAGTATAGCAACTACACTTCTGCACACACTGATGCCAGATGCTGGGGCAAGGGATCTGAACTCTACACCTAGGCCCCACAGTAGCACACAAGATGGCATCTTCCCCATCAGTTGAAGCACTAAGGCAACCAAAATAGAACCCAAACTCTCAAAAGAGAATCATGAGAAAATATCTGTCACCATTTTGGTTGCCTTAGCCACCTCATCAAAAAGCCAGTCACCACTGAGTTTCGCAGCAAGGCCTGCACAATTCTGGTGATTCCTTGGAGGATTCTTATTTTTTTTCACAACTATGGATTCCCATGGATATGCAGAACCTAATGCCACTTTCAGGGCTGGTCCTGGGGCATGGCTTGCACAGGGGCCAGAACTTCACTCTTAGATATAATATAAGTACCAAAAACAAAGTGGTGAACAGCTATGCTGACAATCTCAAAGACTCCAGTAAAAACTCCAAGGTCTCCATGTAGAATGAAAGAAAGCTAATCACAGTTTGCAGAGTTTCTTTCTTGATAT